TAAGTTTTATCATGTATCTATCTAGTAGATAAGTTTTATCTAGTTAGTACGAGAGAATATTTAGGAGAATATTTACTGTGGTATTTATCTACTTGCAGAATTGAAGCATTTATCTACTTGCAGACATTGAATTGTAATAGATAAATTCAAATTCATACTTGAATACATTGAATTGTAATAGATAAATTCACAAGATAAATTTTATTTACTGCAACTTTGTAGATAAGTTTTATCCTGTATTTATCTAGTAGATAAGTTGCTGACATTGAATTGTAATAGAGAATATTTATTGTGGCATTTATCTACTTGCAAACATTGAATTGTAATAGATAAATTCAAATTCATACTTGCAGACATAAATTTTATTTACCGCAACTTTGTAGATAAGTTTTGTCCTGTATTTATCTAGTAGATAAGTGCATTTATCTACTTGCAGACATTGAATTGTAATAGACCTCATTTCTACTGCAATGCATATCCGATTTGCATTTATCTTTCCATATAATGTATTTAATACATTTATCTTTCCATATAATTTATTTAATTACTATATATACTGCAACATGTGTATATTTATAGATTTTGAATAAAATTTTATTTAATTACTAAAATATCTTAAATACATTGAATTGTAATAGATAAATTCACAAGATAAATTTTATTTACTGCAACTTTGTAGATAAGTTTTATCTTGTATTTATCTAGTAGATAAGTTGCAGACATTGAATTGAAATAGGAGAATATTTACTGTGACATTTATCTACTTGCAGACATTGAATTGTAATAGATAAATTCAAATTCATACTTGCAGACATAAATTTGCAATGCATATCGGATTTACATTTATCTTTCCATATAATTTATTTAATACATTTATCTTTCCATATAATTTATTTAATTACTATATATACTGCATTATAGAACAAGTCACTGAACCATTCTATTTTATATGTATATGTTATTATATACATTATAATAAGTTGTTTCGAATGTAATTATAATAATAAAATATTATAATATAATTGGATATCATACATATTTTATATATATATATATATATATATATATTTAGTTTACTGAAAAATATAAAATTTTATTAAAATACAACACTAGTATTTATCTATTTATTTTAAATATATTAAATAAAATTTAAGAGTCTTATTTTAAAAATAATAATAATAAGAATAAAATTGTGAATAAATATTATATGATTATATTTTATTAATCAGATCATAATAATTATA